TAGAGGTTGAGGGGGCGTATGTTTCGTTCAAAGCTGAAGTCATCAATTCGGTATTCATAAAATAAATAAATTCTTATCGATTCAGCATCGCAACGAATTAATCCCACTATCTGTACAATATTCCCGCGACAAATGACAATAAATAAGGCAAAGAAAAAAATTAAAATGCGCACACAAATATTATGAACCAAGCGTCAGCAAAGGGGTGAGTGGCAAGTGGGAAGGGGTAATGAGAATGAGAATACGAATGCGAATGAAAATGAAAAAGAAGCTCAATGAGAACATGAACTGGAAAAGTTGCCAAACGTAGGTTCGTTAATGTAACATTTTTTGATGATACGCACTTCATGTGATGCCAATGACATCATCAATGAGTTGTTGCTGGGTTGGGGCGGGGAGGGGTGTCGGGCAATTTGCTTTGATGTCATTAGTTAGGCAGCCCCACAGTTTACAGTTTGTTGTGCGCGCACAGTGCGAATAAGTGTGAGTGAATAATACAAAGCGGAATTGTCGAGATGCGCTCAATTCGTAATGCTGATTGGGAAGCTGCTGCGGCGACTGACCCCCCCCCCCCCCCCTCCCACTTTCCCCGACCTTCTTGATTTGCCCTTACGTTAATCGTTCTTGGCTAACGGTAGCTGCAGTTGCGCTGACCATGCAGCAATAATCCGTTTTAGTATGGTGCGAAACCAAACCTGTAAATAGACAACCGCTAGTCTTAGAGTCACTCAGAGGCGAACAATTAGACAAAGCGAAATGAGATGAAACGAAACGAAGTGAAACGAGTTGAAATGCGATGGACTAAACTGAAATGGAATGGAATGGAATGAGTTGCGTTGGGTTGGGTTGGCTTCAGTTGAATTTCCTTTGAAATGGCATTCAAGACAATTGCAACAACAACAATGACAACAGCAAAAAGAATAATAATAACAACAACAACAACAAGATTATCACACAGTCTCAATCATTCTGTTGAATTGAAGCAGTCAATGGGAATGCACAATTGCTTGCATCATCCAATGAGTTTCAACTTTACGACTTTTGTGGTTACTTTTTGTGTAACCAGCCAGCACTTCCTAATCGCAGTTACACTTTTCTTTTGTTTCTCCCTTTGTTGTACCCTGTAAAAATGGCATAGCATCTCAAAATCATCAAGTTCAAGTTTATAGGATCGAGAGTTCCTCAATTTGACATATACATATATATTTTATATACTGTGTATTTGATATAATTCCAAATATTTGGTTGAGGTGTATTTTTGTATCCCCATAAAAGAAACTTTCACTTTTCAAGTGATTCTTAAAAAGCCATCACTTAACCAAAATATGATTTCGAATTAATAAGAAAAACGAAGGAAGTGTTTTATTTTAGTCTGGATTTCAAAATATTATTATGTTTTTCTACGGCTGGCTTAATGAAATTTGATTTGCATAACTTTTGTTTCAAACCCGAAGATCAAAAATATGGAGTCGGAGGCATCTCCTTCAATGCGATACAAACTTCACGACCAAATTAAAATAGCCTCCACATGGAAAAAGTGATTATAAATAATTCTTTAAAATAAAGTTGAAACAATCGCTGCAAAAGCAATAACACAAATGGAAGAATCGCTTTCTTCTCCAATACATATATCTTTTGAACTGAATACAGGATATGAGTCGAGTCTAGTTGGTCATTACAACTTTATGTCATGTTTCCATTCTGGCTGATCAGTGCGTCAGGGGTTTCTGTGCTCAGTTGCAAGCAACTCCATTGGAGTGCGGAAGAGGAGGGAGGCAACAACGACTCTTCCTCTTCTACTTCCTCTCTCTCTCTCTCTCTCTCTCTCTCTCTCTCTCTCGCTATCTGTCTATCTCACGAAGGCCATTCGTGCCTCACCCCTTTGCTCCTGCTGCTGTTACTGCTAGTTGCTGTGCGCACGTATCTGTATCTTTGTATCTGTATCTTTGTATCTGCGGCTGTGCTTCTATACATTTATCTGTATGGGAGCGAAGCGTCTCTCTTTGTATGCACACAACATGACTCGAGCTTGGCGCTGAATTGGCGCATTTTGTTGTTGTTGCAGTTGTTGCTGTTGTTGTTGCCGTCTCGTTGGCTATTCATATTTTAGATTAATTGAAATGAATTCGAAACAAGTCGTTGCATCGCCTTGCAATTTGCACCCAATGCACCAAAGGTCATATGTAAATGGGTCGGGTTATTTGTGCGGTGTATTGTTTTTTCAGTTGCAACTACTGTAAACTAAGACCCGTTATCTGGTCATGCACAATTGATAATACTCTAACCTTCATACTCATTCGCACTCTCACTCTCTTACTCTCTCACTCACTCACTCACTCTATCTCTCTCTCTTTGTCTCTCTCTTGCAGGTGAGTACAAATCGAAGACACTGCCTCGAATACACTTTGATACGGCACTAAACGATACGTCATTGAATGAAGGTAAACTAATTCTTTGTTGGTTTTTGCGTAGATAAATTTTACAATTGAAAAACAAAAACAAAAACGACAATCTATGTATAAAGAGATTAGAAATGCGTCTACATAAGCAAAACATTTGTATGTATACAACATTTTACAACTTTAATACTTTAAGCCTCAAAGTACAAACAATATTTAAGTATATCTTTTAATGGATGTATATGCAAATAGTGTTTCCATGCCTATCGCTCTAAGGTTCCCCTAGGTTATTTATTTTGATAACAAGATGTATCAATTAGATCAAACATGTCTTGTTTTTCCTTAAAGTCAAGTCAAGCCCTCAAAAGCTTTTGATTTTTCTTTTAAGAATATTCCAATATTGATGAATAATTTTACAGTTAATTACCCAACTAACCAACTATATATTATTTGAGAGTTAATAGTATTTTTTTATGATCAACTATGAAAATAATTGGATAATCATAGTTTTTCATTTGTTTTCTTTCTAGTCTTTTTTTTATAAACTCTACTTGTTCAATTTTCTTCCGTTGTTGATAGTTAAAGAAAATTCGAAAATGTTAAATTTTACTTTAGCAATAGTACAACTTCAAAGTCATTGACAATTTTACAGCACTGTTGTTTACCATGCATATATAAATATATATATGTATGTATGTACGTGTGCATATTATCATCATAATCATTGCTGATCGTGCGTAAATATAAACTTGATTACAAAGCTCGACATGACTCGGCCTAATCTCTTTAATCACGATCCGAAAGCTTATCTCAAAATGTGCGGCCGCAATTATTGTTGCATACTTTGCAGCTTTCAAATTATTTGCATAGCATAATTTGGGGCTGCCCGTCAGAATGTGAATGAAGAGGGGCAGGCAGAGGCAGAGAGAAATCGCTATATTAGTTTTATTCCCGCATTAACAGTTCATTGCGCCGCTGACATACACAAATGGAAATGCGATTGCGAATGGAAATGCCTTATTCCAATTCTTCATTAATAAGTCGCACAGTTCCGCAAAAGGTGCGCGATAGAGCTGGATGTAGAGGAAGAGGCAATGAGGCAAGGAGACGAAACATGTCGCACACACGTAAAACACAAAAGTCACGCACTTCCGTTAAACAGCAAACTGCTCTGCTGCAGTGGAAGAGAGGGCGAGAGAGTGAAAAATGTACGCCTCTAATTTGCTTATTATAAGCTAGCTGCCTGTATTGTGTTCAAGTATCGCCTTATGTTACACACAAACACAAATGCAAATACATTCACTAAAAGTGTGTGTGTGTGTGTGTGTTGTGTACCTGCGCTCAATTAGATCAATTACGAGCCACATTGCCACTGACGCCCTTACACCGTATGCCGTATACCGTATGCCGTATGCCTTTCGGCTCAGCGTCTCCTTCATTTACATACACACACATACATATACATGTACATACTATGGACGTGTGTAAGTTTGTTCGTTCTTCCACTTGTACTCTTTCCAGTTACTGTTGCCGTTGTCTTGCCTTCAATTCCGTTTCTTTACAATGCATGCGCTGCGTTTGAGACAATCGGGCATATTGCTTGTACCCTTGGCAAGCAGGTATGCAGATACATGTATGTAATATGCCCTCTTTGCATCGTCAAATATAACATGCTTGTGCATGCATATCTCTGCCTGTTTCATCTTTGAGTTGTCACGGGCACGTACAGACATGCATGCAAAATCTTCCGATATGACGACAAAAGAACACCAGGAATTTTGTTTGATTTGTTCGCTTGTTCTCGCTTTATCAACTAGTCATACAATTCTAATTTTTGGAAGCTCTAATTTCTTTGTTCATCAATCGTAGATCCCTTTCAATTGTAATTGCATATATACTTGCTCAGATAGTGAATTGAATTTGTATATGCATATGTACATCTTTGTCAATTGCAGGGCATTTATTTGTTTGCATAGCTGAGTCGGGATTAGTCGCTCTTGCACTCCTGCACTTTATTTATTGCTCTCTTTTTCGCTTGCTTCGGGCTCTGTGTGTTGTGTCGATAATTTGGTTGGTTTGTCAACGCGCATGGGCAGCACTGTGTCTCTTTGGCAGCGTCACTTGGCTACACTACGCACTCTCTTTTTGAATAGAACAGGGCTGCGACTTTTGTAAAATCTTAACTCATAGTACATAGGAGTCGTTAACTTGCTGGTGTTGAGATTAATAGTTGTTAACGATTGAAGTAATTAAGTAAATATATATTAAAGTATTGAATGTAAATACATGAATTCGATTATATAATTATATGATTTGAAATTATACAAAGTTATTTTTCAACAATACAAAAAGAACTCCCAATTGGTACATTTTCATCCCTGGCTTTGAGTACAAACAACGTCGATCACGCGCTCTCTCTCTCTCTCTCTTGATCTCTCTCTCGCTGCGTCTCTCACACTTTTATCGTAGCCATGCTGCTGCTTTGGAAACGGCTGCGTCGGCGGCAGCGTCAGTTGTGAGAAAAACGCGTCAGCGAGAGGTAGCCAAGCGGGAAGACGACGACGACAACGACGCGTTGCAATTTGTTTTTCTGTTTTTTTTTTTATTTGTATGTTTGTTTGATGCGCTTGTGGTTTCGTTTACATACAACATTTCTCAGTCTTACGTTTATCACGTTGTACTGTTAATCTGTCGTTCTTGCATTGTTGCATTTTTTCTATCGAAAGTATGTGTTTTTTTTTGTTTTTGAATATTTGTGAAATGTTTGGGTTAAATTTAAACGGAGAAAAGTACGCATAGCTGCTTCGAGTGCTGTGGCATGCAGCGAAACGCCACGATAATATAATAACAAAAACAACTGGCGACAACGACGCGTGAAAAACTGTAAAAAAGCAACAGAAAAAAACGCGGAAATGCACTTGAGCGCATAATTTTTATAAGTCACCAGCGACAACAAAAATAAAAACAAAACGCGCAAAAAAACATAAAGAAAGAAATTACTTGTCAGCAAATTGCAGTAGTTGCCAAAGAAGAAGCCACAACAAACACAGAAAATTCTCTCAAACACACATAAATAAACATAAGCAATCTTCACACACACACGCATACGCACCTATATACACAGATATACATATAAAAATACCTTTGCCGTTTGGACGCCCTCGTCCCGTCTCTTTTGCGAGAGCGCGCGCGCCTGCGCTTTGTGTTGGTGTGTGTGTGTGAGGGAGAGAGAGCAATGATGAGCGCGGCGCCTGAGTGTGGCAGCAGCAGGAACAACAATTAAAAAGCAAGCGCGCAAAAATGTTGCAGGCGCATTGTGACGCCAGCAGCACAACAACAACAACAGTATCTAGAAGAAGCGCGGACAGCGGCGACAGCGTCACTGCAGCAGCGACGCCAACGCAGGAGGAGAAGACACAGCGTCGACGCTCCACATTTTATGTGCCGTTGCTTATCGAGGACGAGGATAAGACGGAGAGCAACGAGCCAGACGAGCAACGCCATCTAGCGTCACACAGCAGCAGCAGCAGCTCCAGTTTGAGCAGCAGCAGTGTAAAAAAGTCGACCAAAATAAAATCGAAGAAAATGTCGCCGCCCTGCGGGTTCAATTGGAGCATTACGGGCAGCGATGTTGCCGCACACTATTCCGACTCGGATGATGAAGAGGAACAACAGCAACGTCATCGACAACAATTGCTCAAAGCAGCAGCAGCAGCCGCAGCAACAACAACAACATCAACCTCAACAACAACGCCCGCTTCGAAGCTGAAGCGTTATGGAATTGTGTTGAATGTAATTAGTCTCAATGGTAGCGGCGGCGTCGTCGTCGAAGAGAACGCTGGCGAACCCTTGCCCGATATGCCGCCAGATGGCGCCAGGTGTGCGCCACGCACTCATTTCAATGAAGATAACGACATTGTGATGGCAACGCCGCCTAAACAGCAGGCGCTCTCTCGCTCACGATCCCCCCCAGCTGACGTTGACGTCGACGCTGACGTCGATGACGTCGACGATGAGGATGATGACTCAGAGATAAGCCGCATGCAGACGAACACCTCAACGCCGATTAAATTAATGAAATCGCGTTCGCGCACAAACATTTTGGCCGTGCCACTGCCAACAGTGGAACGCGGTCTGGCAACGACGCCAGCAGAAACAGCAACGAAAACCACAACAACGCTGATCACACTGCGCGCCAAGGCGAAAACGCTACCGCAGAATTTAACGGCTTCAGTTGCACTGCGCGAGGCGGCAGCACTGGACGATAATACAACAACGGCAACAACATCGTCGTCGCACTACAACAATAATAACAACAACTCAAACAAACAGCTGCATCAGCTGTTTGGTTCCGGTTCCGGTTCCGGTTCGGGTTCAGTTTGCAGTGGTTCACCGTACAAATTGCAGAACAGCATCTCCGCCGCTTCGATCATCATCACGCACAGTTTTCCGCCCAAGAATCTGTTTCTGCTCAAATCGACGCCCAAATTGAGCACAGATACCACGCCCCCTACGCCCACGCACCAGGCACAACAGACAACAACAGTTATCACATCGCCGCCGGCCAAGAAATCGCTCAGTTTTATACGACGCGCCCATTCCACAAAATTATCGCGTAGCAATTCGCTGCTGAAGACCATCGGAGGAGGAGGTGTTGGAATAGGAGGAGGCGGATCAGCTGGCATGTCGAATGGTCTGGGCAATAGCGGGGGGGCAGGTGTTGGGGGTGGAGGTGGATTGCACCATCATCATTATGGCACATCGCTTTCAGCGTCGAGTAGCTGCGCCAGCGACGCAGGTGGCAGCTGGGGCAAACATTTCTATCAGAGCTACGATGTATGTCCGCTGGGCCTGGACGAGCTGAGCGCCTACTTTGAGACCGATCACTGTCAGCAGCTCATCCGCGAGCGTTTCATGATCAAGGATCTCAATCTGCACTCGACCACGACAACAACAACAACAGCAAATACGAGTTGCATTGCGACAACAGCAACTGGAGGAGAAACGGAAGGAGGAGGGGGAGGAGAAACATCCACATCGGAGCAGCAGGACGATGATGCGGGACATCATTCCGGTAGGTGAAAAAGGCGCAAAAAGAAAGGAGAAAATACAATATATATTTGATAAGGTTAGAAAACCTGGAAACTCTAGTCAGCTACAGAGAGAAAGAGAGAGAGAGAGAGATCGAGAGGGGGTGGCAGACAAGGAGAGGCAGATACTGCTAAGCTTATGCTATAAGCTCTCCCTCACCTCCCCCTCCCTCTCTCTTCATCTATCAATTTCTCTCTTTCGCTGTGTGTTCGTGTTGTTCTCAAACACGTTCGTCACGACTCGTTAGTTTCTCACTTCCTGTTTCTGTTACTGTTACTATTACGAACCCTTGATCCATCGATACCCCTACCACTGCCCATACCCTGTCCCTATTTGTTCCCCTTCTCTTTGCGGTGGTTGAAATGCGTCGCCAGTTTTGTCGTGTCTCCATTGCATGCTTTCCATTATTCGCTTCGTCGTTCCCTTCCACCCCCTTCGCCCTTCCCGTTTCCCCATCCCCTTCTCATCGATCGTGCGTTTCAGCGAAAAAGAAAAACAAAGCAATGATAAGATAAGCGAACATGATTTCGATTCTACACACGGCAAGTCCAAGCACCCCCTCCCCCAACTTCCCATATTCTTCCAAACTCAGTTTGATTTTTTTTTTATCGATGTACTTCACACGTTCTTTCGTTTTTTTTTTGTCTCCTACCTCCTACCCTCGTCGACACCCGCACTCAGCCAAGCGTCTGCTAAGCCTTCCTGTTCTTTTTACCTATGCTACTCTTTATTTACACTTCCCTCCTTACTGCTGCTCCTTCTGCTGCTGCTGCTACTGTTGTTGTCGTTGTCTTTATTTTTATTCAATGTTCGATCGTGCGTCTTTACTTTTCGGAATGTACACTACAGACACACACACACACGCGCGCGCACACATACAAATGTATGTATGTTTATACATATTTATGTATTTCTTACACATGTAGCCCAATTGTGTGGCTCAATTGTAGCCCATTCTGGTGGCGCACGTTGGCCCTGAGCAGGCAACGAAGCGTCGCACAATGGGCGTCAACTGGCTGACAGCACTGAAAAAAAAGAAGAAAAGTAGTAAAACATTATTTGTAAACTTTTGTATTAAGTACAATTGTGATTCCCCATTTATTCCACATATGTATGTATGTATGTATGTATGTACACACAGAGGTAAATGGCTTGATTATTTTACCATGAACAAATTCCATTACAATTATGTTGATTATTATGCTGATTATTAGCCAACAATTGTGATATAATCACATTTGAATGGCTTGACATAAATTTGTGTTGTTGTTTTTGTTTGCATTATTTAATTTCTTATTACAGATTTGTAGATGTTTTCTTCTACTCAAATGTTTATCTATTATTTGCTGTAAGCAACACAAACACAAATATGAATATAATAAATGGATTTCTCTCTCTCTCTCTCTTTCTCTCACCCCTTGAATAAATGATTTAATTGGTGTAGTTCACATTCTAGGGAAATTTGCAACTGAAGTGGAGACGAACAGAAAATACAGTTAATGCTGTTATTTAATCTTATGTGTGTGTGCTTGTGCTTCTTCTTCTTCATACACGCACACACAAACACACGACACGCACACTTATGCATGTATTTAGTTCATTCAATTATTCCATTGTCCCGCGTCCAGCATTGGCTGCTTTTTGCTGCTGCTGGTGCTGCTTGTTTTTCGGTCTCTTTGGCTACAATTTCAATTTCATTGTGCGTTGCTATTGTTGTTGTTTTTACCTATTTTTGTTGTTGTTTTTTTGCCGTTTTATTATGATTCACGCAAGCGGACAGAGTGACACCCGCACCGAAAACCAGTTTGGTCTGTGGAACGGTGAGAGAGTGAAGTGAACGCAGCCAAAGCAGAGAGCCAGAAGAGCGAGAGTAAAACGAAAGTGAGAGAGCACTGAGTGAGAGAGCAAATGGTCAAACGGCAAACGGAACGCCAAACAAACGAGCCGCTTTATTTTCTCAAACTCAAAATTTGTTGTGGTTGTTGTTGGTGGCATTCTTCAGGCATGTTAAGCCGTTTTTGTTGCTATGATTATTTTTGTCGATATTGAGCGTTAAAAAGAGAGAGAGAGAGAGAGAAAAACAGAGAGTTTATGCACTTGTGAGCAAACAGAGAGGGATAGAGAGACACTGCATTTGAGCACACTTGCAGTTTATTTGAAATTTGATAAGAGGAGAAAAAAAACAGAAGAAAAAATTGCTTTGTAACAGCGACTCAGCTGAGCGATTCTCGATAAAACCGCACACACACACACAAAGAAAACGCTTGATAGAAAGACACATGAGCAAACAATTGCTGGAAATGTGTTTTGAAATTCACTAGCACACACACATATCTACACATACATATAGACAACATGCATGTCTACTCGATAAATAATTGTTTATTGATTGATCCTCGACTAGTTCCACTCTTCATATCTATCCTGGCTTGGATCGCAATCGCCAATAGCATCTGTTGTGTTGACATTTTGTCCCCTTCCTTCCCAGTATGCCTTGTGCACATATTTCAAATTGGTTATATAAGGCTAATCAGGCATGCCAGTGCTCATCTTAGATCTTGAACATTATTATTGTCTCCATTTGCATTTCGATTCTTTCTGTAGTATGGGCTGTAAAGCGAAAAAATGGATTTATTTACAGGGTATCTGCCAATCAAGCATTTCTAACTGCCATACATTTGTCAATCATGTTTTTCTTTTCTTTTTTTTTTGTGTTTTTTGTTTGTCTTGTGTGCACTTTATCTTGTCTGCGATGCCATTCATTTATCAGCTCGAACTCGAGACGGATCGTGTGAGATGTGCATAGAAAAAAAACACATTTGTTTAACGAACTGTTAATTGAGTTGACCTTATCGGCCAGGGCAGACAGGCGGAGAGGCCTGGCAAAACGAATCGCTCTATTCGTATTCGTATTCGTTATTCGTAATCGTATTCGATTTTCGATCCATTCCCATGCGTTTCCAACCGAAATCGGCTTGTCTTGTCTTGTTTATCGCTTTCACTGCCCCAACCCTTGTAACCCCCACATCCAGCTCCCCTTCTAGCCCGCCCGCTCTGACTGCTGGTCACTGGCCTTAAGCGAATTGAAATCCGTTTTGAAGCGCATACCAAATGTCGACGACGACAAAGATGAAATCATCTTTCAGCAGCAGCAGCAGCAGCAACAGCAGCAGCAACAATAACAAATCAGTTGATGAAGATCACGGAGATCTCTGGAGGTCGCTGCTCCTCCTCAACTTGGGCTCATCTTCATCGTCTTTTGTCGTTTTGACCAAAAGTGTATTACAGCCTGACTCATTTCCCCACCACCTTCATCTTCACCTTCACCTCCACCTCTGTTGCTGTAATAGTCCCTGGCCTCGCCTTATGTGGCATTGATCGCGATCTCCAAAATAGAATTGGCAAGTGATGTGCCCAAAAAAAAATAAAAAATAATAAATAGAAACAGAAACAGACAAATGTAAACTGTAGTTTTGCGTACAGGCGACAAAACTCAACTAGTTGGTTTCTTAACTCATTATTTATAGTTTCAAGTTTCCAATTTTCCGATAAATGTTGAAAGAGCATTCGGAAAATATTGGTACTCAGTGGCAAAAAGAATTGTTATAATGTTGTTATAATAAGCAATTTGATTTTGAACTCAACTCATTTAAAGCGCCTTAAATTGATCGATAGTTGTTCTTTGGCCTGCAAATATCTTCTTCAAATGTCTTCATATATTCGATTGATTTAATCACCGAAGTCTCAACCAACATACATAAATACAAATGTATGTTTTATGATTACTTATAGAGAATGTGTTTATTGAACTCATTTTATTTGAGGATCATATCAGATACAGAGTCATAAAAATGATAAATAACTGTGTGCTGATAAGAAGCTTGGAGGTCTATTAAGAATGGCTAAGAAACGGCTGAAGCGAGTCGTTTTTTTCCGTTTTTTTTCCATTTTTTTTAATGTTTAATTTTTCCCAGACGAACTGCCATAAATACCAATTGAAATATGTGAAATGTCAAGTGCTGTGAGATATGATCTATAAATATAAAAGTGCACAAACAAACAAACTAGAAAACATATCTACAGTATTTATTAATGAAGTTGCAGATAAAGCAAAAATGAGATTAGAAAAACGAAAATGTGTGTTTTGAAGAGAATTGAAAGCACGTCGATAAAGTGGAAGATTATATCAATTATATATTGTTGTTATAGAGCTAAACAAGACCAAACATTATTTGAAAGGTTTATCTGACTAGTATCTTATCGGAATATATATAATATATATATGTATATATATATATAGCTTAAAACATTAATGAAACTTGCAAGATTGTTCAAATTTGAAGATTAAGACTTACTTTTCGTGATGTTTTATTTTGCTTATCTATCCGCTTGTCAAGAGTTGAATGTTATGATTGAGGCAACTCGCACCTAGAAATTACTGATAATTATTATAACTTTAAATCTCTAACAGCAACATGCCACTGCAACAGCTTCCTCTGCAATTATGCTCAGATCTATTGCAATCATAATCATGGCTGTCGAGTGGCAGTCAACAAGAAGTATTCATTAACTTGCTTCCTTGCCCCGTTGCCCCCCCTTTGCTGACTGCCTGCTTGCCTGCCCCCCTCTTCAAGCTTAGCTATTTGTGAGCTTTTGTAGGGTGCGCCGTGTGTGTGTGTATCTTCTTTATTTATGGGGGCCTCTATTGTGGGCGTGGGCGTGGGCGTGGGCGGTGTTGGGTGCGTTATACAAATCATAATCATAATCTGCGCCATTTTTGTAACTGGGCCTATATATTTTACTTCTACTTTGTCTGTGTGTTCGTCGTTCTTCTCTCCGTTGTTGTTGTTGTTGTTGTTGTACTCTCTTTTGCTTCCTCTTTGAGTCTTTTGTTTGTGGGCAGAGCAGCAGCAAGCGCCTATTTGGGGTAGAAGATGTTCCAACGACGTTTTGGATCTTGTATAGAAGTTGTATATAAATAGCAGGCAACAACAACAACAGCAACAACATCATCATCATCATCATCAACAAAGCATGACACAATTTCATATAAGTAGCTGTGTGTATATGTATGTGTGTGTGTGTGTGCGTGTGTGTTGGGGTTGTGTGTTTTTGTCTCCTTTTGATGACAAATCGCAATGTTTGCATCGCTCTGGGCAGCTGCAAATGAAAATGAATCAACGTCGCCTCCAAAACGAGCGCAACTCATCAAAAATGTATAAATCTCTGACGCTCTTTTGTGTCCAAACTCAGAAGCAAAAAAAAAATAAGGAGCAAGTGGCGTTGGGCGTTGGGAGTTGGGCGGAGGGAGGAGGTGAGAGGTGAGAGCTGAGAGCTGTTGGGACTGGCTGTGTCACAAAATGATGTTTGCCTTGCCTTGGCTGATTGTGACTCAGATATTGAGAGTGGAGACGTAAATCAAAAAGGGCCAAGAAGCATGATGGCGATGCGGCTAATCAACTGCTAGCTCTGTTTTCTCTTGGCTATTAGCTGTTAGCTGCTGGCTGCTTGCTGCTTGCTGGGTGGGCTGACAAGGTCGTTTCCATGTCTTTAATCTCTTGAGTTGCGCTTTGTTGTTGTTGTTATTGTGAGGGCGTCCACAAGCAACCACAAGAAGAAGAATGTGTGTAGAAACCAGTTTGCCAGCCGCAGTCAGTCAGTCGTCGAGAACAAGTAGATGAAGATGATGATGAAGATGAAGATGAAGATGATGATGAAGATGAAGAAGATGATGATGATGAAGATGACGACGATGATGATGATGAAGAGGCCTCGTTTACCTTTTTCGGGGCAGTTTGATGAATCATGAATCAACGATGAGTACCTGCAGTCTCCTCCTCTTCTCTTTGCGGCTGCTGCTGTTTCTGCTGTTGCTTCTAGGGGGCGTGGCAACAACAACCGGGGCAGGTGGTGATGTGCAGCAGCAGCAGCTGCTATGACTTGGGCTCCTTTCCTTTTGTTGTGTGTGTGTGTGTGTGTTTGTGTGTGTTGTGTGTGTTGTGTGGAATCCAAGTCGACGAGCCAAGCCGAAACCGGTTGCTCTTATGCGGGTTTTACTCGGCCTTTGCATTTTTTACTTCTTCCTCTCTCTGTCTCTCTATCTCTGTATTAACTTCCCCCTCGCCTTGTCTCGTTTGTCTTTGGCTCAAATTGAAATAACCACAAGCGAAATTCCTGCAAGTCAATTGCTCAGCAGCCTAGGCTAAATATGCCCATAATACCCTTAATCCCTGAGCCCCTCCAAACGGTTTTAATTCCTTCTTCTTTTTGTTTTCAACTCACACTGACAATTGCAAACAGTAAAAAATATAAAACAAAGAAAAAGAAAGATAAATAAGCAAAAGAAAAAGAAAAAAACAAAAAAACGTCAGCTTTATTCTATGCAAGCAAAGTGATAAACACGATTCAGAGACTGGTTTAGAGACAAGTTTTAAAAATGCCGATGATTTAATCGGGAATGCACAAAAAACACTTGTAGATAATTAACCAAAGCGAATCAAATTAATATGTGCACGATTCTTTAGTGAGCACAGTTAATTTTGCACAGCTTTCATCGTGCGTGCATCGATAGCAAATTATCGATTATATAAATTGATCGATTTACAAGAAGCAACTTATAAGATTTAAGCAGATTTAAGCCGGTTATAACCATGAGAAAGAACTATCTTAGGATACTTACCGATCTAATGACGGGATAGTGTAGACTAAGAAGTTATCTAACTAGACTAGGTATATATATATAGTAGCGATCTCTCAAGGTTCTGTGAAAGAGAGGAGGAATCCTCGATACACATCCTAGCAGAATGTGGCGCACTAGCTAGAAGAAAATGTAGCATTCTAGGGTTGCATGTCTTGAATTTTAGAGACATAGAAGACCTCAACCCAACAACGATCCCAGTATTCGTACGGGATCTGGGGCTGATGGAAGAGCTACAGGTTCAGAATGGGACACAATAGATATAATTCCCCCCAATAATAATAATAACTTATAAGCTAGATAGAGATAGGTCAGGATATGTTAGCAATTGATACTTAATACGAGTAGCATTAATCTGAGTTGTAATCTAGTTAAAAATCATCATATCATTTGATTAGTTGATTCGTTCATTTGGATAACACTGTCATCGATGGCGATTGACTAATCACAATCGTTACGCTCTCTCACTTACAGATACTTCATATGAGAAGGCCTGTCGTCGCGGCTCGGCGCCCACAACGCCCATCCTGGGCAGCAAACAGCATCAGCAGGAGCACAATGCCGCCTCCCGCTTCACCAACTTCTTTTCCAAAAGGTATGTATTATTATAGTTAGTAAGTTGGAGCTGTAGCTGTACTACTAAGTCCCATTGTCTTGTCACCTTGCCCGAATAGATCGAATCCCCTTAAACGCACCAAGTCAGTGACCAAATTGGAGCGCACCAAGCGCGGATCGGGCGGTCTGCGCGGCTCGCGTTCTCACGAGAGTCTACTCTCCAGTCATGCGGTCATGTCCACCATCGGTGAGTATTCCAAGTACATAGTATATAGTATATATATGGCAACAGTAACAGCTGCTTGTGGGCCATTTAAGATTTGACTATGGTTGAGTTTTCGCGTAAAGAAAATTACTCGGTTTGCATGATGAGAATTCGTCGGACTCGTTGGTTGGTCATTCAACTAGAGCACCAACTTGTTACTATTTTCATTTCATTACTCAATTTTTACTTTCTCAACTTTCGCTTTGCAAACTTACTCGTTGCTTTTTATAAAATGTTCTCGTTATCCTTTTAACTACTTCGATAAACTAACGAGTTAGAGTTAGACAGAAACTTAGTTGAAATTCGTTAGTTCGTTTATCCTTATCCAATTTTCATGCTTGAAACTCAACCATTTTCAAATAGTTTTTGATATTTTTAATTGAATTCGCTTTATTCACTTGTACGATATTCGTTAAACTTACTCGTTGCTCTTATCTTATCTGCTTCTCGCTGCTACCATACAGATTTGTCCTGCAGCGGAGCTGTGGGCGTGGCGCCCGTACACCAATCGGTGCTGGGTCGTCGACATTGCTTTCAGGTGCGCGGCGGGCCGCGCGGCGAGCGTTACTATTCGTGTGGATCGCGACAGGAGCGAGACCTGTGGATCTACTCGCTGCGCAAGTCGATAGCACCGAATGCGGAGCACACTCGCCGCACCGACAACTCGCTGAAGCTGTGGGTGTACGAGGCAAAGAATCTGCCCGCCAAAAAGAAATACTTCTGTGAGCTGCAGCTGGACAAGACGCTGTACGGCAGGACGAGCGTGAAGCTGCAGACGGATCTGTTGTTCTGGGGCGAGTACTTTGACTTTCCGGATATACCCGAGATCAATGTGATCACCGTCAACGTTTTCCGTGAGATTGACAAGAAGAAGAAGCGAGACAAATACCAATTTGTCGGCTCGGTGAAGATACCAGTGCACGAGGTGACCTCACGCCTAATCTGCGAGGACTGGTATCCCATATTGAGCGACAAGGCCGGCGATAGTCTGGGTCGCACCGGTCTCGGCAATAAGGATAAGGAGCGTGAGCTGTTGCCAACATTGCGGATTAAGTGCCGTTTCCAGAGCACCGACATTCTGCCCATCAATGTCTATGCCAATTTCCTGGCCTACCTCAAGGAGAACTACAAACGCGTCTGCGAAACTCTAGAGCCGGTGATTGGTGTCAAGGCCAAGGAGGATATTGGCCAGGCACTGGTTCTGCTTATGCATGCCCAGGGACTGGCCGGCGCCTTCCTCACCGATGTCGTCGCCCTCGATTTGCTCCGCGTGGGCGATCAGCGTTTAACATTTCGTGGCAACTCGCTGGCCACCAAGAGCATGGAGGCATTCCTCAAACTAACCGGGGAACAGTATCTGCAGGACACACTCTCGGCGCCCATCAACGAGCTGATCCAATCGGAGCGCGACTGCGAAGTGGACCCCACCAAGACGACGGGCTCCTCGGCCGGCTCGCTGCAGCGTCAGCAGGCAGCGTTGCGTGGCGCTGTCCGCAGTGCCTGGCAGTGTATCTATGAGTCGCATAAGCATTTTCCGCCACAGCTGCGCGCCTGCTTTGCCACGTTCCGGGAGCGATTGCAGCAGCTGGGCCGCCAGGATATGGCCGATAATCTGATCTCGGCCAGCATATTTTTGCGCTTCCTATGCCCGGCGATACTGTCGCCGTCGCTGTTCAACATCACCAGCGAGCTGCCGTCGGCGCGTGCCACACGCAATCTGACGCTGGTCGCCAAAACGCTGCAGACTTTGGCGAATTTCACACGCTTCCAGGGCAAGGAGAACTTCATGGAGTTTCTCAATGATTTTCTCGAACAGGAGGCCGGACGCATGCAGCAGTTCCTCGAGTACATTTCCACACGGCCCGAGCACGCCACGCCCGACTCCATTCTGGACTGGGCGGGCTACATCGATCAGGGCAAACAGTTGTCCATCCT